TCAAAACCCCCTTCCCCTCCCCCTTTTCTGATGAAGGGTCTAGGCCCGAAACGTCAGCCTCTCTGCTCCTATGATGCTGCTTGGCCTGCTGTGTTCATCCAGCCCTGCACCTTGTTGTCTCGGATTCTCCAGCATCTGCAGTTCCTACTATCTCTCATAAGATAATGTGTCAGGTGGTGGAAGGCAAATGATTTGGGGTTTAGATGATTGGAGCCTGGAGCAGAAATGATGAATCTACTTGGAGTACGCTGCAAGCATTTCCTGCCCAACCAAATGTTTCATTTTTTTTTCCTTCATAAAATTGTATCTAATTCCACACAAGGAAGTATACTATCTGAGACAATGATTTCTCTGCAACGAAATTATTTTTTGTGGTCCATCAACCTGGAATTTAAATTATTGCAGCATTCAGACTGCATTCTCATGACAGCAGTGTAAATATGAAATCTCACCACAACATTCCCTGTACCTGTATGTCATGATCTGTAAACTCCCCTTCCCCCAATGCCAACTCCACCACCAGAGCATCCAAAACCCTTTACCGTTACCAGATTTCTAACCACCATCAGACTGATGGTGACCATCACTGATAATTCACGTCTCTCTTACATAAAACTTTATGCAGTAAACTTTGATGATATATCTTAAATCATCCCATTTAATCATCACACCCATATTTTCTCATCCTACTTTTCAGAGCCCACATGAGCTTACCCTTTCCTAACTTTGCAACCTCTTTTAGACTTCTAAGCCTTGCAGGTCTCTGCACTTGTAAAATCTGGCCTGTTGTGCATTTCCAATTATAATTGCTTTACCATTGGTAGCAATATTTAAGCTTTCTTGGCCCTAAACTGTGGAATTCCCTCTGTTACTTTTCACTTATCTTTAAGTTGAACCTTAAAGCTTAGTTCATTGACCAAGTTCTTGATCATAAGCCTTATATCTTCCTCAGCTTGACATCAGAAATATTTTTATTAATAAAGTTTTTGCAAGTATTCTATGTTAAAACTGTCATGTAAATTCATGTTATTGTTGTCAACCATAATAACCATGTCCCAGACCATAGGCTACTCGAGGTAAAATAGCCCAGGAAATGTGAGAATTGCTTAAAAATTAGAAGCAAAACTTAGTTTTATAGTCTTGAGAAACAAAAATGGATGTTTTATAGTTCATGGAAACAGTGATGCAGCCAATAATAGAATCATAGTGTGGAAGCAGGCCATTCAGCCCATTGAGTCTACACCAACCCTCCGAAGAGCATTCCAGCCTGACCCAACTTTACCCTACCTCTGTAACACTGCATTTGCAATGGCTAATTCACCTAGGCTGCACATCCATGGACACTTTGGGCAATTTAGCATGGTCAATCCACCTAAATTGCACATCTTTGCACTGTGGGAGGAAACCAGAGCACCTGGAGGAAACGCAAGCAGATGCAAGGACAATGTGCAAACTCCACACAGGCAATCACCCAAGGGTGGAATAGAATCCTGGTCGCTGGCGCTGTGAGGTAGCCAGTGGGGTAGGTCACATCAAGATTAATAGGAGGAGCAATGAGAAAAATTCAGCAAGAATGAAGGAAGAGCTACGGTCCACTGACGAAAGAGAGAATGGAACGTTATTACCAGATGATGTCCTGGATCATGCACAAGAAACAGAAATTATGTCAGGAAGTGCTGAAAATGACAAGGGAGGTGAAGATTTGCTAAGAATGTAGGTAATCACAAGGAAATGAAATCATGAGTAACTGAAGAGAGAAAAAAAAACACAGGATGGTCAACTGAGAAGAAATTGAAGAATATCCCAAACTGAGAACAGAATCAATAAAAATATGAAAATTTAGCAATGTAACATTGGAAAAGCAACGGAAATATGAAGCAATTGGAATGAAGTTTACCATTTCCCAGCTTTTAAAGTGAGAAGTAAAAGATTTCATTGTCCCTCACAAAACATGTTTTATGCTGTAGTTCAGAATCAAATCAATATTGTTCTTACCATATGAAAGAGCTGAGATCATCACAAAATACTACTTTAAGAAAGTAAATGCAGATGACAACAAGTCAAAACAACTTACAGATAACAAAAGGACAATCTCTGTACATAATAAAAACATAGTGGTGCTGCTGATGATGATGTAATGAAGTTAATGCAGCATGTAGTCTCCTACATTGTGTTTGATAATGATTCCTGTGACATCAGTGCTGAAGTAAAACTTCAAACTAGTCTAGATAAATTTTCTTCACTGTTCCTCCTATCAATCTTGTTGTGACTGGCACTATTGGCTACTTCCATGAACCACTGAATGCCTACATTCAATTGCATCAATTTCTCAAAGTTAAAATATTAAATTTTCCTTCTAAATTTTAAACAATTATTATATTTCCTATGGTATTGACCATGAGTAGCTTGTGGTTTGGAACATGGCTATTATATTTGACAACAATAACATGAATTTGCATGACACTTTTACACTGGGTGCTTGGAAAAGCTTTAACAATAAAAATGTTTTTGATGCCAAGCCAAGGAAGGAAATATGAGACTTACGATCAAAAGTTTGGTCAACTAACTAAGTTAAATGATCAACGAATATTTGGAATTGCTAAAATTTTCTGCAAACATTTGAATGCAATTAAAAGTTGTCAATGTTGTTGCACAACTCCCACTTCCCATCTCCTAATGGGAACCTAACAGGATTGAATGGGTCGTGCATCTATACCTCTCTAGTTTTTTTTTAATCCAATTAAAAGCCAAACTGCATAGGACGTAAAATATGTAGGTTACAGAATGATTATCAATATAATAATCACAATATGGTCATGGATAACATGGACCTTATTCGCAAGTCAAAAACCATTGCAGAAGGAAATGCATTTGGGAGACCAAAAATTGATCTGTTAGTAGAGTACAGTAGTCATTTGTGCGTGGGTGTTTGGAATTGAACAGAGGCTGTTGAAACTAATTCCAAATGCATGCACTGAACAGGAATGTTGGTAAGACAAGAAAAAGCAGTTAAGGACAGAACAATGTTGTTCAAATCCTCCAATGGCCTACCCTTCCACAACATTGTAAACTCTGCAAGTTCTATAATTCCCATCCCAATTATTCACACCATTTACTTCAATGTATTTCATCCCTCTTATTTTTTTAACCCTATTACTGGAAGACATGACTTCAACCATCTAGAGTTTACAGATCTGAAATGTTCATATTCTGTTATGAATGTTTTTAAATTGCTAGACTCTGTAAGATGGAAATTTAATATCTGCTGTAGTAAAGGAAAACATAGTTAATCAATATTTTTGGGATTCATGCAATGGAAATGTGGATCTGAAATTAACTAATTATACCTGAGTATTTGATGTTGACAGTAAGTGGCCTGCCCTGCAGCATTGATATTCCTCACCACAATATACATCAAATCTTAACAAGGAATTTAATCGCAAATAAAAAAAAACTTCAAATGGAAGGTTTTAATAAGTCTCATTGCAAACACCAAGTATAAGTTCCAAACAGTGGTGCATTTCAAACTACGTAGATATTTAAAGTCCAACCCGAAGATCAGTATTAGCTGATGAACTGAATGCTAGAGTTAGTTGCTGCTGCAGGGTAGAAGCCATTATATGAGAAGAACCGAAGCTTACTGAAAAGCTTCTTATAAATTTTCTATAGTAAGAAAGGTCTGCGTCTCCTCTCTCACACTATAATTATAATCATATCGCAGTGAATTCTGTTGTACTTTATCTCTACACAGTTTCTTTATCCAGTGAAAGAGTTAATTCTCAAAGCGAACGCAAAGTGTCAGTTACGGTTACTGATAGTTTTTTTTCATTTGAGGTTGGAAAAAAAAACTTTAAATTCACAATAATTTTTAAAATTATATCACTAATGATATCACAATCATCCTAGAGAAACAATGCAATGACGACATATCTTTCAGTGATTTGTGCCAAAAAAAAGTATAAAGTCACGAGTTCCCATGTCTAAAAGCCCTTGTGATTTTACCGGAAGAATCATACACATCATCTTGTTTGCATTTGGATAGCGCTGGATAGGGTTTACAGACCACATTGCTGCAATGGGAATTTCAATTACTATAAACAGTCACATACAGACCTGAATAGTTTGACTCTGGTACACTTTGATAACATGAAAATTGAAACTGTAAATGCCTTTTCTTGGGGCAACAAAGACCGACTCCAGGGTAAAACAATTACCCACATTTACTAAGATCTGAAAGAAAGAGAGAGAGAAAACATTGGATCAGCCCATGTTGTCAGCCTGGAGGAGAAATCATTGCGTTCATAGCCCCTGGCAAATCATAGGATAAATACATACATTAACATACGTAGCTCGTGCGATTTCAAACTGACCAAATGGAAAATAAAATGTGCCCTCTTTCCTATCATTACCCTGTGGTGATATTGCCAGTTGATACAAATGGCAATTGTATTAATTCAACATTAAGTTGGGCTGAACAGATCAATATATTTCTCGTCAATCGATGTTCCGACATGCCTAGTGACATTAAGAAAGTCACAATTTATAATCACTGGCCATTTTAATAACACACTGAAGAAGACGACTACCTAAAAATAAAATATTAAAAGTTGAGTTTTTTTTTTATGATCTTTTCGGGGGGTGGGGAGGAAATATTGGGGCTGATCTGATTGAGGATGCTTATGAACCCGTCTTGTAATTGCAATGTATTCTCTGTAAGAAGCCGAGAACAGGAATCCTGAGAAATTCATCTAGGGAAAAGGAAGCTATTAACGCAATGTTTGTCTGTGATCCCCTATGCAACTTTAGAAAATGAACATCTAGCTAACTCTTCCGAAGTAAGATCCTATTATCTGAAACCAGAATCATAAGCCGCTTCTCTCCAGTAACTTTATTTATCTCCTAAAATATACCTCCCTCACGGGCAGTTTTAAAATTGAGACAGCGCGACATTATCAAACTGAGTTCATGACTGTAATACCTCTCACTTAATGGATCCTATGAATGTTAAAGTGCAGGTAATATACGGTTTGAATGAAATGCTTTATATTTAGCCTCTTTTAGTTTTATTGAGGGCCAACGGCTATGCATCCATTCCTATTCATTGGCAATAATTTTGTAATTGTACATTCTGAACACATCAGTTCCTATTCTTCTCGTTTATAATTATTCCTTATTTAATCCGATACCGTTTCGTCAAAACGTTCATTGCTAGATCCCAGTACATTTAGAATTAGTAATACAAGACAGTTCTACACAACTGAGACTCCCCCTTTGCCCATTAACACTTGTTGCACCACTCTCCAGTGTCACCCACTTTCAATCCTCTTTATTCATAATATGGGGTCTATTTTCAAATAGACACGTAAACAAATCGATTTGTGGATTGACATACTGACTGAACATTTAACCCTTCTGTTTTATAATGTCATTGCATCTCCAGGTTAGGGTTAACACTAAATCACATCTGGCCATCTTTCAGCCAGTCCTTGATGTAAGGAAGTGAGATTTCCCGCTAGCTGTTCTTATTTCCAATTCTCCGAGATTACCTGATCAAAGTAAATGATCCGAGTTTTGTTGCTCATCTCTGAAGGCTCATGGTTGGTGCTCCTCACAGTGGAGAAAGCCACCTTGGAGTTAGCGGCGCGGACCGAGATCCCAAGCGGGGAGGAGGAGGACGAGCCCTTTGAGTCTCCTGTCGGATTGGAGTCGCACACCACCAGGCACTTCCCTTCCAGAACGATGGGCTCCGTGTCATTCTGTGTCAGCACCGGCACTGTGGTCAGCGCCAGGCCGGCCAGCGCCGTCAGCACCATGGACAGCATCATCGTCGACTGCGGGCAACGCCAGCCCTTACAGCAACACCAAGCAACCAGAAACAAGCCTCCCTCTCCCCCTCCAGCCGAACCCTCGTGTCCTCCTCCTTTCCCTCTTCCTAGATTTCAGCTGGACGAACGAAAGCTACTCCTCTTAACCTGCTCTACATCTGGCTATCCCAGTACGAATCAGCAGAACCCCCTCCAGAAATCATGGCATTGCACCTGAAAGTCCTCCGTCCCTTGTAAATCTCTCTTCCCGGAATGTGTAACAAAAAAAAACACTTCTTGATCTATAAATCCCGATGTGAATTATTGATAGACGAAACCACAGCCAAACAAAACATTATTTGACGCTGCCATATCAGTTCATCTGCCTTGTCCGATTTGGACGGGTTTTTAAGGCGGTCTATTTATTCCAGAGGTTCACTCCTGGTCCTGCTCACTGGCTTCCGAGCTCCCTTTCTGATCTGTGTGTCAGTGACAGTCCCTCCGGTTTTGTGTCACTCACTCTCTGCACTTTCGAAGCCCGGGAAGGGTAGTGCAAATGAACGCTCTGCCTTGCCTTGTTAAAAATTCTGCCTGAATGTAAACGATCATTGCCAGTAAGACGTCACGATAAAGAAATAAAAAAGACACAAGCAAGGAACAATAAGTCGGACAGGGTTAAGGATGGAACAGATAGGCTGTACCTACCCTTAAATTACTTCGTTATCCCCATACTTTATTATTCAGACATGTCTCGCAGCTTGCTGTTGGGCACTCATTATCTAAGTTTAGCTGCTCTTAGTTTTGTGAAATAAACAATTACAAATGAATCTGCTTTTAGCCAGCCAAAAAGTTCTCATTGTTTCAAAAATCGAGCGTTTTCGTGCAGTGTAAACTCAGGAACTCGAAGCGTATTTTTAAATCTATAAATGGTTAGAAAGTTCAGTTGCGACTAGTGCATGCAACTCATTGCACAGCATTGCATTTATATTTGTTTCATGGATGAAAACTTTTAAACAAGTTTAAATATTGTTTTAAAATAACATTAATCTGATCATTCAGCCACAAGAAAATGTCACCCTTTCAAAGGCTCCGTGCTACTTCCAATCACACTCCTCGTTTTAATTCTCAACGACGCCGCCTTGTGGTAGTTCTCACTATTCCTCACACCAGGAATGCTCGATTCATTAGTCCCTTTCATTTAGTATGTTATTATTAACTGTACAAATAACTGAGGAGGGCTGTTGTGGTGCAGTGATAGCGATAAAGGCAGGAAGCCTGGGTTCAGGTTCCACCTACTCCTGCTGTCTGAACAGGTTAATTAGAAAATATCTACAAATAACTGAGAACCTTTGTCTGAAATCACGGTTCATGTTCCAAGACTGAGATATTCAAAATCATTACTCTAACTCACTTGTCAATCCTAACAACTACTAAATGTCCCAGCCAACATGTGATCACTGTAAAATTCAGACAAAATGTAATTTTAAAGCCTGAAATGTTCCGTCATATTTTACTGGGTTTGTTGATCCCTAGATTCATTTTTAAAGGCAATTAGAAATAAAGGGAGATCTGAACAACAGTCAGCTACTTAATGAATCATGGCTGATGTATAACACAATCTCATATTCTTACATTTTTGTTGAGTAAAGCATTAATCAATTTTGGTCTTCCAAGTTTAAATTGACCAGCATCCAGAATCTATTGCTTAATAATATGTTCTATAAAGGTTTGCATAAAATAGAACTCGCTGATTTGCTTCAAAATAGCACAATTCTAATTTTAATATGGTGTCCTGTCACTCTGGATTCCTCCTCAATGATTTCTTTCTATAAACCCAATCAAATTCTATACAATGAACTAATTCAATTTGATCAATTTCTTACTTTCATAGTTCCACTGAATACAAACCAAGTTTATGCAAACTGTTGTCACACTTTGCTGTCATCTGGCATATCTGTATCTTACTACTTCCAAGGTCAGTATAACTTTCCTGAATATCTGCACCTAAAACGGAATGTAATACCCCAGATGACAGTGTGATCAAAACCCAATATGGTAGGATATCATTTTCATACATTCATATTACGAGAACATTGGCATCATAGCCAAATACTCCATTAACAGTTTTAACTTATTTTCTGTTCTTTATCCACTAACTTTTGTGATTTTGCCATGGAATCATGGTATAGTGACAGTGTCATTTGGCTATTTGTGTCCATGCCAGCTCGATGCAACAGCAACTCAGCTGGTCCCACTCCAGACCGCTTCCACATTGCAATGCTAATGTTTTCTCTTCAGATGCTTATCCAATTCCCATTTGAAAGTAACAATGAACTGCCTTCACTACACTCTTTGGGAGTGCATTCTGAATTATAACTATTTGGTTCACAAAAATGATTCTTCCTCATGCTGTCACTACTTCTATCGTTAAGCACCTTCAATCCGTATCCATAATTCTGAATATTTTTGCCAATAGAAAGAATTTCTGTCTATCTACTCTGTCCATCTTCTCAGTTTTTACATGTATGTTTTCTCAAACCTCCTCTTCACCATCCCTTATCTAAGGAGAACCACCCAAGTTTTTCCAATCTACTCACAAAGCTGAAGTCTCTTATTACTGAAAGCATTCCTATAAATCTTTTCTGCACCTTCATCATATCCTTCCTAAGATGTAACGCCCAGAACCAATACATCAGTTGAAGTCAAACTGATGCTTAAAATGTAATCAAAACCTTTTGCTTTTGTATGCTTTAGTTTGTAAAGCCCAAGATTCTGTAAACATTTCAATTGCTCTCTCAACTTGCACAGTCGCTTTCAGTGATTTATGCACATATACACAGAAGTACCTTTGTTCCTTACCACTTTTACACTTGTATAATTAGTACATATGTTCTCTCCTTGTTCTTCCTACCAAAATTTATTTGTCTTTTACTTCATCATTAAATTTGTCAGCTATGTGTCTGCCTATTCCACCAGCTTGTCTATAATCCTCTTGAAGTGTACCACTATCCATTTCAGAATACTTCCAAGCTTTGTTTCATCTGAAAAGTTTGAAATTATGCCATCTGCACCATGTAAATCATTAATTAGCATCCAGAAGAATGAATTTTCTGAAAGTCAATCCCTGGAAATCTTAATATCTCATTCGTTTTCAAGAAAATTCTCCTGATCGCTCTGAGGAAACTCTCCTCTCTCTTTCCCCTTTACTCTATTACAATCACAGAATATTAAGATAACCAAACTTCACTACTCCATAGTTTCTGCACTAGCTATAACTTGCTCAAATATTTGCTCCTATTTATCTTGTAACTGGTTGAGGGCCTATAATATGTACTGGGAAACAACTCTTTGGTTTCTTACCTCTAACCAAATTGGTTGTGTTCTTGACTCCTCTGGGATACAGTTTTCATGCGGCACTATTTTCCTTAACAAACTCTGGCATCCCTCCTCTTAACTTTCCTTCTATATCATTCCTGTCCACCACGTGTCCAGAGACATTTAATACCCATTGCTGTGTGTTGTTTTGAGCCAGACCTCTGTTATTGCCACAACATCATATCTCTGTGTGGCTATTTGCAAACGTAGTGTATCAATGATGTGGATATGCCAGCGTTGGACTGGGGTGGAAAAAGTCAGAAATCACAACAGGTTTATTTGAAAATACAAGCTTTCAGAGCCTCACTCCTTCTTCAGGTGTTAGTGAGAGAGATAGTAATAGATGCGGAAGTTATAAGTAAAAGATCAAAGGGTCACACCACTAATCAGGATGTATTAAACAAACCTGGGATACTGTTAAATCTTTAATCAGTTAGAAGATTTGATTTGATTATTATGAATATGTAAACACCCAAATTCCTTTCAAGTCACTGTCCTAAGAGAACTAAAGGTTTTAAGGAAGAGATGACATTTTAGGTCAGACAATGCATGCGAAGTGTGAGGTCTTGTTTAGAATCTGTTTGTGTTTTGGTTTGGAGTCAGACTGGTTTTATTTCTAAAGTAGGGATTTATAAAACACCACATTGACTGACTATCTATAAATTGTGTGCTTTTTGAACAAAATAGAATGTATCTGCAAATACAAATACACCCCATAGATTCGTGTGTGCGTGTTTGTGTGTGTGTGTGTGTGTGTGTGAGAGAGAGCGAGACAGTCATCTCCATCAGTGACAGACACTTCCGTACCTCACTCTACCGCAAGCCTATGGATAACCTCAGGATGCTCCAAGTCTCTAGCTTCCACTCTAAACATATTAAAAGAGCCATCCCCTATGGACAAGCCCTATCCATACACAGGATCTCTTCAGATGAGGAGAAATGAAATGGAAAGCTGAAGGTGTTGAAGGACACCCTCATAAGAACAGGATAATCTGCTCAACTCATTGATCACCAGTTCCAAAATGATACAGCGAAAAACCGTTAATGACCTCCTGAGAAGACAGACACAAGATACATCCGAGAGAGTGCCCTTCATCGTCCAGTACTTCCTGGGAGCGGAGAAACTACGCCATGTTCTTTGCAGCCTCCAACACATTATCGATGACGATGAGCACCTTGCCAAGATCTTTCCCACGCCTCCACTTCTCACCTTCAAACAACCACCAAACCTTAATCAGACCATTGTTCACAGCAAACTACCCAGCCTTCAGGACAACATCGACCACAACACTATACAACGCTGTCATGACAATCTCTGCAAGACATGTCAGATCGTCAACATGGAAACCACCTTCACATGTGGGAATATCACCCACTATGTGCATGGCAGATATTCATGTGACGCAGCCAACATTGTCTATCTCATATGCCCCGAGGCATGGTACATTGGTGAAACCATGCAGATGCTATGATGATGGATGAATGGACACAGCACAACAATCGCCAAACATGGATGTTCCCTCCCAGTGGGGGATCCCTTCAGCGATCGAGGATATTCAACCTCAGATCTTCGAGTAAGCGTCCTCCAAGGCCGACTTTGGGATACTCAACAACACAGTGTCACTGAGCAGAGGCTGATAGCCAAG